AAAGTGTTTGAGGAGTTACCCAGACAGTCTGCAAAGCTTCATTTGATTGCGTCCAGTCTGGTTGCTGGTCTTGCAGATCTCAATCAACTAAAAATCGCAATACTGGTGTCAGAAGACGATTGTGTCAGAATCTTTGTCAAACCGGAATCCGATAAACCTGTAGAGGAAGCAGCCGTTTTGTGTCTGCCGAACAGATTTCATCTTTTCAACGACGATGGAATAATTGACCTACGTCTTTTAGCAGACCGAAGAGTTGCCGTGGTCGGCCTAGGAAGTGGTGGCTCCCACGTCGCGATGGAACTTACTAAATCTGGTGTGGGTAAGTTTATTTTGGTCGACTACGACCGAATCGAACTTCAAAACGTCATCCGCCACGTTTGTGGGTTACGTGACCTTGGGCGTCTTAAGACAAATGCCATGCGGGATCGCATCCTGGAGAAGAATCCATTTGCTGAGATAGAAATTTACAACAGCGATGTCAACAATTTAGAACAAGCCAGACAAATATTCAAAGGGTGCGACATCATCATCGCTGCTACCGACAACATCATGAGCAGGTTCAATATCAACAATTTGTCTTTGGAGCTTGGCATTGTGACCCTCTATGCTGCATGTTCCGTCAGGGCCTCCGGGGGTCAGGTGGTGCGCGTAAGACCCAACGATGGTCCGTGCTTCTCATGCGTATACGTGGATGCCGCAATGGAAGCCGTGGAAGAGGAAATGTCTTCCTTCGCTCAGGCTCGCGCAGCTTTTCCTCCATACATTGGAGACGATGAAGTCGAAGCTAACATCCAGGTGGGATTGTCCTCTGACATCATCCCAGTTGCAAACATGTTGGTGAAAGTGGCCCTGGTGGAATTGTGTCGTGGTGAGAACACCGCCTTGGCCTCTTTGGAAGAAGATCTAGATGGCTCTTTCTACATGTGGGCTAATCGAAGAGAGCAAGAATACTATCACTTATATTCTGAAGATAGCTTTCACAAGTCTGACGAGCCTGCAATTTTGAGGTGGTATCAACTGAGAAGCAAAAGAAGAACCGACTGCATGATCTGTCAAGGCATGGAAGGCAGTGCACGAAACAGGGCATTTTTCTCCTCCAAAGGATCTTAGGCTCTGAATATAGTTAAAAGAATATACTGAAAATGACGTTTTTTGGAAAGAAATTCATCATCAAATTCTTCAAAGTAGAGTCAGCTTACTCTTATACGAGTTCTTGGCACTTAACCCTTTAATTCCCCCAAGTGATTAACATGTAACTTCTCCCTATAACATCCATAGTTATCCAACAAAAATGTAAGAAATTGCTATCCTGATCTAACACCAAATTCTCATAACCAGTTTACAAGGAAATGTGTAGAAGCTAGATGGGAGAATTAACAATCAAATCTTGGGAGTTAAAGGGTTAAGCACAATTCAGTGTTGTACAGTGTACATAGACCAGCCTTGCCCCTATTTTTGGCTTGTTTAGTATACCACGGAAAACATGATCAGAAAATAAGATTACTTCCATGACCAACCAAAAAGAATAACGCTGGTAGACAAAAATAGCCAATAAAAAAACTCTAAAAACAGGGGGCAAAGCTGAAGCCTACTGCCCTGGTTAACAAAAGGTATTTGGTAGAAACTGGTTTTAGGTTAGTTTTCAACAAGAGTCAAAAACCTGAAACCAAAGAAGTCACAACTACAAATTACAACAAAGGTTAACATCATTATAAACTGAGGAGAACTCGCAGTAAAAACAGGCAACCTGATTGAAGCATGTAAAAATATGATTGACCTTGTTTTGCATTTGATTGATTGAGATTGTGGCAGAAGTTTTTAGACCAATCACTGAGCAAACTGAAACAAAACTAAAGCAATTCTGGATCACTTTTCCACACTCAATTAAAAACTGCTCTAATTTTGCAATTGGTTAGTCAAGAAGGTGGCATGTGTTCCACCATGTTAAATCTGCTCTTGCTTCTAAATTCTCCCCTCAGTGTTCCCTATCTATCAAATGTAGAGGTCATGAGAAGAAAGGAAATGAACAGGAGCTCCTGATTGTCAAAGAAATTCTCCTTGTCAGCGCCATAGGAATTGTAAAGAGGACAGTAAGGAGAATGTAAATACCACTGTTAAGGTGTACAGGTTTAAGTGATGAGACAATGTCCAACATTAAAAAGTAAAAATGAACTAAAACAAATATTTCTATTTTCACTTCACCAATAAATGCTCAAATTGTTGTTACTGATGTATGATTATTACAATCCAACTGTTATCGTATTTGTGAACAACAGCTCCTAACTTAAGAAAGGTTTGTAAAACACGTTTGTGTTGAGTTAAAAATGTGATGCACCTTATTCAGGCTGAAAAACTGCTTTGTCAGAAGTTGAGATATTGTAATTGATTGATATTTTGCCTACCGGGATGGAAGAAGGTAGGGTTTGCGCTTAATCTAAATTCTTGATAGCGATGACAACAATAACTAAAATAATTTTGAAAAAAGTGTGATGTTCCATCATACATGCATTTGAACTCTCAAAAGTCTTCATCTGCAAGGCATGACAAATCAAAGGGAATGCATAGAAGCAGTCATCCAGGCCAGTTCATGGGCGACGTAAAATTTCTTTGAGTCTCAATACACAGGTTTTGCTTGCTGCGTAGGCAAGATTCCAAACCTCCTCTTAAGTGTCACTCTGTGGCGAGAGTACTTGTCGTCTGGAGAGAAGCGAGCTGAGTAAATAGACAGGATAGAGGAGGTTAAGCACTGAATTCTCACACAGCTCTTTATGTGAATACTGGTCTATAATATATGTCTTACAAAACCAAAACGATGGGAGAATGCACTTTTTCAAAACCATCCCAGATTTTGCAGGCATAAAAATAAGCTCACTACTGTAGTCTCTCCACTGCATATTTCAGTATGGGAATGTAAAAAGCTAACACAAGGGGAACGCTTTCAAAGTTGCTTTACAAAATAGAATCTAAGTGTTTTAAGTGATTTTGTGCACTTTCCGTTTCCTACCAAATGAGTTTCCAAGAAAGTCCTGTAGAAACTCTGCCAAACATTTACCAACAATTGGGCCACTCAAATGAGGATTTTCAGTTTATCCTCTTTGGAAAAGCTGAGTCATAAGCTTGAAGAAAATCAGGGTGGAAAAAAAACAGAAAGCTTTTATTTTCTTCCGATTCCTCTTAAGATTCTGGGTGCTTTCCATTTGACCAAAATTCTTTAGATTTCCGGTCTGAAATCGAATGGAACAGAAAAGTTCTGGGATAAGTTTTCGAAAATTTAGGAATACATTTTGAGTGTGCCCTCTTCGATATGGTCAGACGTGTTCCATTCGGCCAGCGAAAATACCGACATTTTGACACGTGATTTTTGTTGAATGGAAGGTGCCCTCTGACACTTAGCAGCAAGCAGAACCAGAAGAGCCAACCAGTCATAATGCTACGTCTCAGGCCATCTAATTAATGGCTTACGACTTTGACTGCCCAGTTTTCACTGGTTCATGGGCAATGGAGTCGTTAGCATCATCATCAACAATTTTCTTCTGATTCCATCGGTTTGATTTTCTCTGGGCCGTATCGCTCGGCGCTTCTGATCCAACTCTATCGTAACTGAAAACCAGCTTCAATATGCACCGTTAACATATGCATGAGGTTGGCTGTCAGCATTTTGAGCATCTTTCAACACAGTATATTTATCGGAGAACCAAACTTAATTATATTACCAGTATTCTCCGTGTCCTAACTGAGGTGAACAAGTAAACCAACGACAAATTTGAGTCGAACCAATGTAACGCAAAAAAGACTAACTGTTGTGCAAACTCACAGCGATACGTTTTTGAACGATCGCGAAGGAGAATCGCGCGTATATCATTAAAAAAATTACCTGGATGAGCAGACTTCGTTGGTTGTCCCAAAGGATCGATTTTCTGCAAAACGTGAGATTGTTCGTTCCAAATAAGTCGGTTTACATGTACATTTATCACTAGAATTTGCTCTAATTAAGTTCTGCACATGCACGTGGAATCATCACAAACAACTATTACACTTAAAAGCAGAACTTCTACAGATGGATAAAAGTGTTGAACTGATTCTTTAGCTACCTTCAGTGTATAAATTCGCTTCCCTTCGTCGCTGAGATAGTACATAAGATGCATTTTATTGAAGAAACACCGAGTCGCTCGTCGAGGGCTGACTTGATAAAGGAAGATTACAAGAACAGCCTCGTTATGATGTTACGGTTCAGTCAAACAGCGGCATGTCAAAGTTATTATTATATAATTAAATCCATCATAGTCAACGTGAGCCCGGTTAGCTCAGTCGGTAGAGCATCAGACTTTTAATCTGAGGGCCATGGGTTCAAGTCCCATATCGGGCGCGCTAGGTATCTTTTTTTTTTGTTGCTATTTTTTTGCAAGAAAAGATCGGTAGGCCATTTTTC